AGCCGGAGCGGCGGCAGCGGCAGTGGCAGCGGGGACCTCGAGGAGATGGGCCGCACGCGCGGCGGTGAGGACAACGACCGCGGGGCTGCTGCCGCCGCGGCCGCCGCTGCCGCCGCCGCCGCTCTTCCGGGCTGGCGCCTGGAGGCGCGTCTCTCGCGGGGAGGGGTCGGGGGGCGGTAGCGGTTGGCGCTGGTGTCGAACATGTTGCTGTGGGAATGGTAGTAGTAGTTGTAGTCCCCGCCGCAGAACCCCGAGTCGGACGAGCCGCACGTCTCCTGCCCGGTGTCCGACCGGAACAATCGCGGCGGGCGCCGCTGCGGGCACGAAAAACAGCAGTGGCGCGCGGAGACAAGACACGCCAATTTCGGGTCATCGACGCCAAGTTTCTTTACTTCGTCTTCCACGGTAAAGTAGCTCTCAGTCAAGCAGGTGATTCCGAAGACTTTCGTGTGGGATCCACCGCGGAGCTAGCTGTGGTTCTACAGGAGTAGTTGTCAATTTATTTTCGTAGTTCGCGTCAATCCGAGCCTTATGTTCGTGTTTGGGTGCAGCGGCAGCAGCAGCTTCGGCAGAAAGAAGGTTCAAGACCTTTATCGTTAGCGAGAGTGACTGACTGGCGGGTATCTACTTGTAGTGTGACGGCCTTTTTCTCGATTGCGGGCACAAAAACAGCCGCTAGTCTTGAACGGGGTGTGCAACAGCTGCAATTAACGAGACGAATTCAGAAGCAGTGACGGGGTGTGCCTGTGTGCGGCAGGGAGTGCTTCTTTGGTTATTTCCCCCGGGGCCTGCATCGTCTACGGTGGTGCTAGATAACAATGCTCCGTGTGTATTTTTACTCGGCCGTCCCGTCCTCTCAACGAAAGTTCGGTGGGAAAGAGCAAGAAATTTTTTAGGGACAATTCACGACAACATTCAACAGCAGTCAGTGTCCGTCCTCCGAAGGGCGGCAAACTTCAAATTTCGACAAATCTAGTTTGTATATGTTACCCTAGTTGACCCAAAAGAATCCATCTCTTTCTCTGTATCTAAGAAAAGAGCCTAAGATAGATTACCACTGACTCCTACAGCAAAAATAGTAACGGATTGATGCTGCAGTGAGCTGCAGACAGACAAGACACTTCGCCACCTCACTACGTTTGATTAAAGAAGTATCTATGTACGTACGTACCCCGTTGTTTTTGGTCGTGTTCAAAATGTCTCGCTGGTCCCTGTTTCATTTTGCATTATTTTACTAAACATAACCAAGTACTTCGTAGTGACCATCGCAACCAACGGCCAAAAACATTTTTTGGGCGGGCAGGTGTTTTCGTCCGAGCCGCCTTCCAACAGGGGCTTCTTTAATGTCTGGAGTGTGTGAAGGTCGAAGATATTTTCAAGGGGTATACAGCAGTGCCACAAGATTTGGATGGAACTCGAGACACTCTCCCATGACAACATAGTTATACTTGTACACTTGCACCTGCCTGAGGCGATGACTGGAACACTAACATTCCATGTTAGGCAAGAAGCACCACGTGGGAACCACGTGGGAACCAGTAATTAATGTCCGCCCACCAACAGGTAGGTGTGATTCCCTAAAACAACAGCAGTACAAGTAAGTATACAGCAAGAGGGCCGCCGAACTGCTTGCTGTGACGGTTGCGTATTTTGTTAATTTTGACAATCAACAGCAGCAGTAAGCACCTCTGAACAGCAGCAGCAGTACCCATGTACACCAAGAAGAGAAGATGTGGTGAGGCTTGCAGCAGTAAGCTTCCAATGATTTTATGCGACAGGGTGAGAAGACCCTGAGGGCGACGAAAAAATTGCCGACGCAAAATTAATTAGCCCCACGGCACAGGCTGTCGGCGGATATGTACGGGAAAAAAAAAGACATCCCCCGTTCCTGGTATACATCGAACATGCGTCGGACACAGGAGGAATGTGTAAAGCAGCTGCTGGCTGGTAGAGAGGCAGATGGGAACAAAGCCAGACTATTAGAGCGATGGCAGCGACGCCTGAGCCACACGCCCGCCGTCTTCCCTCGAGACCGACCGTGGTCCTACCACACCGACCGGTCTCTGGTGGTCTGGTCGCGCTTGTTTGCGGTGTAGGTGGCTTTCCCGCCCCGAAAGATAGTATTTTTTTCGTGTACAGGATGCATATTTCGGTACAGTATATCTATATAACTCGGAGTAAAGAGGAAGGAAAATAAATCCCCGGAACAATAACATCGACGGCTGATCACAGCACCTTGTATGCGTAGCAAGCCATCCACAATTTGGATATCGATCGTGCTGGCTACCTTCGCTCGCCCAGCCGCGCTGGAGTACACGCTATGGTGACCACCGGTTCACACTTCCGCCTAGAGCAAATCTGTCGCCGAGCCGGCTTCGATCGGAGGCAACTGAATCGTCGAAACCAGCCTCGACATCGATGCCATTGACACCAACAACCACGCCGCTGTCACAAAAGGGGCCAGGTCATGCTCCCGCCTCGTGTGTAACAGAGCTTTAAAATCGAAAAGTGATACACCCGTCGCCTAGCGCACCTGTCCGGAAGAATGCCCGCTGGAGGCATACGAATGGCCATACTCGGCCTCTCTCTCCTGCTCCCATCTCCGTCTGCTGGGGGTGGCAGGGTCGTCAACGTGTGTGCTGTTGCCGCTCGGGAGGCATAGCGTACAGTCTCCCACACAGTCGAAAATCGACGCCATCCTTCTCTCCTCTCCTTTCGTTCCCCTCTTGCCTTCTCGCCAAGAGACTGTCCTCTACTCCCCGCTAACACCAAGCAGGATCAGCTCTTCTTGGGTGACGGGGTGCGAGCGGGTTGGACAGCAGAACAACTCCCACATGCCCGCCAGCAGCAGCATCGGCAGCAGAGGAGGAGGTGCCCTGGCCAGTTGTGTGCTGTGTGTCTTGTTTTTGTTGTTGCCCGTTGGCAAACAACGAAGGAGGCGCGCTGATGCCACTGTTGGTCGAATTGCGAAAGAAGCGCCAAAGAAGGGTAAAGAACCAACTAGATGCGGGAAAACATCGAGCGAAGGCTCATGTATCGTCATGTACCTCAAGAGGCAACGACGCGTGTGGTAACTAGCAGGTGAGCAGATGCGATGCGACCGGACGAAGAGGTCGACCACTCGGTGGGAGTAGAAAGTGGGGGAGGAGTAGTAGTGGGGGCAGCAGCAGCGAGTTCGATCTGCTCGACTCGACGCTCGTTTAGTTTAATGTACGCGCAGGCGGCACGAAGCAGACTGCCACGACTTGCAACAAAAACACAATTTTTAAAAAATGTAACGTATGCAGTATGCAGTAAAGAGAGCCTCTTGGACCCCATGCTCCCAGCTTTCACGCCGTTGGAGCCTACAACGCCTACCTCCTGCCTACATATACGTGCGAGGCAGTAGCCTCTCTCCTTCTTACCTGTGGCGGGTATACTGTACCAGGTTACACTTTAGCCCGGAGGCACATCCACAGACGTGGAACACGTGCTACATAATATGCCTATACCAGCTTTATCGTGCTGAAATATATGAAGTCGTCAATGGTTGATTGAGCAAATCTACGGCGCATGCTGTGTACATATTGTATGCATACTCATTTGTACTTGAAGTAAGTGTGTACAGGAGTATGGCGTTCCCGTATAACTTGGCTACCGTATATGACACAAGATAACACACCCCCTGGACCGATTTTCAGAGCTCGATTACTTCACGACGAAGAGGATGCATGGACGAAAGGATACATTTTCAGAGAGCTGTCGACCAGACGGCTTCAACGCCGCCGTTTTCGGCCCTGCGACTGTTGCTGCTGTTGAAAAATCGAGCTTTGAAAATCGGTCCAGGGGGTGTGTTATCTTGTGTCATATACGGTATGCATATATGTGCACATCATGCATGAAAAGTAGGAATATGCGAGCATTCAGCAGAGTCCGAATTAACATGGTGATACATTGTACAAGTTCTCCTTCTGGGTGGTACATGTAGTGTTCGCCGGTGACCACGGAGGGGAGGAAGACATTCATCCGCGTACCGTCAATTGACCGTTACTACAATCAATCCTACGGATGGAAGGTACAGTGCAAAGATCGGAAGGTTGACTACTAGAAGAAGACTACTACTTCAAGTTATGTGAGGACTCAGCACAGTATAGTGAACTGTCAAGACACCGCAACAAATTCGTGCGCATGCATGGTACGCATGGTATAATGTGCGCTACACTTCATGTATATCCACGTGCAAGTATTCGAAAATGGCAGGCTGGCTGATGAAAATTTAGGACCCCGGAGTACGTGGTATGTTAGTGCACTGCCGCCCTCAGCGGTCTGTGGTGTTGAGACTGGAGACTATGTTATCCCAGGAACCGCAGATGAAAAAGGACCATGTATTGTATATATATATATATATATTCGTCACGCAAACCCCTCAGGCAAGTGAGCTCGTGGGCTCTTTCTCTCTCCAGCACCAGGCAGGGTCTTCTCCTACCCCCCATACACTTCATACCCATTGACGTACCCCCCGATCAGGCGCATTGCGCATGTAGATCGGACACACATACATACATCCAAAGTACAACAAACAGCCCCCCTACTTGATATGCCGTACGATCTCCCAACCAATGCAAAAACGCAAATAACCACTTGAGAAACATCCTCTACAAGAAGAACTGATCACGCGTCTCCATCAGTTTATTCACGAATCCACTACATTCGCCCCTAGACATAATCTCAAACCGTTGACACAAAAGAATCATCCTCGGAAAAAACACCCAACAATTATTAAGAAAAAACGTTGGAACGAAACAAACATTTTCTGGAAAAACAGCTTCAAAAGAGTTGAATACCAAATCCTCAAAAACAAAACAAAAACTCAACTTCTTGACCAATCAAAACGAGAATGAATTCGGAAAGCACATTGATTTGCCCCAACCATCAATCGTCAAATAAACGTCAAACCCTTCCTCCAAGATAAATTCCAAGGACCAATCAATCCCTAAACAGCGCGCAACCGCAAATAAATCGATGCCATCGCTGTTGTCCAAGAAACGATAGAAAACAAAGCAAAAAACATCCATCCATGCATACAGCCCCCCTGCTGTGACATCCCAAGACACTATCCTCCCAACGTTATATCTTCACGTGAACAGCCCCCCTGCTGAGACATGTCCAAAAACATAGGATAAACAAAAATATCAATTGATGATGTGCATGCACTCTGTAATCAATCATAGTCACACATGACATTCCCCCCCATGATTGCAGATGCAGAGACAGCAAGAAGAGACAAACGCTGCTGCAAAGAAAAAAACAACAACAAAAAAAAACAACACAACGTTGCACAACGCAGAAAAAAAAAAAAAACTTCACATCAAGTAAAAACTAATTGCTATCGACTAACAAAGGAACGTTACTTGATGTTCATCACAAAACCACGGTGAAAGCAGAATGCCGCCCTGTGAAGTGGTTTGGTCATAAAGTCGGCGTGCTGCAAAGCAGACGCAACGTGGACTACCTTAAACTGCTTGCGTGCCACCCGCTCCCGAATGAAATGGTGTCGGATGTCTATCTATGTGCTTAGAGTTGGGGGTGGTGACCGGGTTGTTGACCAAGGGAAGGGCCCCCATGTTATCCTCGTGAACTCTAGTGCACCCGATGCGCTCATCTGGAAAGATAAAACTCCAGAGATAGCGCAAGAAAATCGCTTCCTTGAAACCGTCGCCCATCGCAACATACTCGGCTTCAGTCGAAGAAAGTGTAACACTCTTCTGCGTTCGCGACAAAAACGAGACACACGCACCCGCACACATCACAACCGCACCAGAAACCGACCGCCGGTCCGTCGCGTTGCTCGCGTAATCGGAGTCAACGAAGAGTTCCAACGAGACACCGCCCTCCGTCCCCCGCTGATACGTGATACCAAGACCGACCGTGAACCTGACATCAGAACATGCAAAGCTGCACGCCAATGCGCCATCTTGGGGGGCGTGGGCATACCTCGCCACAGCTCGCACTGCGTTGAGGATGTCCGGGCGAGGCTGATTCACCAGCCACATCAAGTGTCCTACCAAAGACCGAAAAGGCTCAAGAACATCAGGCTCTGCATCGTCGAAATCCTCAAGCTTCAAGCCTACTACCATGGGAGTCTCCTTGTTGCGTGTGACACCGAACGTCTCAACCAAATTCCTCGCAAACGTCTCCTGCGACAACGTAATCGTGCCACCCGCGCGGTCACGAGAAAACCGAATACCCGCGTACAAACTCAGCTCTCCAAGGTTCTTGGCTGCGGCGTCGGCGGCGGGGGGGGCGGCAGCAGCGGCAGCAGCAGCGTCGTCCCCGGTCGCCGCGATGGCCCCGGGCTCCTCGACGGACGCAGCGGCGGTGGCGACGGCGTCGGCGGCGGGGGGAGCGGCAGCAGCAGCAGCAGCAGCGTCGTCCCCGGTCGCCGCGATGGCCCCGGGCACCTCGACGGACGCAGCGGAGACGGAGACGGCGACGCCCGCGGCATGCATACTTGGGTCCGCGACAGCGATGCGCCCGACCGCAGCTTCGTCATCGACCCCAACTGGAGCGACCAAGCCCAGCGTCCCCCCCCGCGAGCGCCGCACAAGCAGCCTCAGCAGCAGCGCCATCAGGTTACCCCCTCCGTCACGAGGGCCTCGGCGCGGTGCCTGGCTAAAGGTGGGCCTCTGCCGCGGTCCCCAGGGGTGTTGGCGATGCTTGCAATGGCGGAAGACTTCGACGCGCGGATGGACGATGAGCGGTGCTTCGGAGGTCCGGAGCTGCCGGATGGGCCTGCAAGCGAGCGCGTGACACCGACGACGTGGGCGGAGGCGCACTCAGGCGAAGACAGCGACATCTGGTACAGCGCTGAGGACGCGGAGTTCACCGGACTTCTCGAGGCGGACACTTTGTCGCCGGCGGCAGGCTCGTAGCAGCCAGGGACGAACATCATTTCGGCCAAATGGGTGTACCTTTGGAAGTCCAACGAGTTCGGTGATGTGACGCGTGCAAAAGCCAGACTGGTAGCAAGAGGTTTTAGTCAGCGGGAAGGGGTTGATTATTTTGAGAATTTTTCGCCGTGCCCGTCTGTTACTAGTATTCGCGTTCTTGCCGCAATTGCTTGTCATCTTGGTTGGGATTTTGTGCACCTTGATGCTGAGCAGGCGTTCGTTCTATCCAAGCTGAACGAGGATGTGTACATTCGTTTGCCGAAAGGTTGTGGCTCTCTCTCAGGGAAAGTTGTCAAGCTTGCCCGTAGCCTGTATGGTTTGAAGCAAGCGTCCCGCATGTGGCATTACCATTTGCTCCGAGCAATGAAGGGTTTGAGCAGTGTGCTGCTGATGCTTGTGTCATGCGTCTGATCGAGAATGGTGTTGTGACAATGGTAGTTGTTGTGCACGTCGACGACATTTTCTCGATCGGGACCAAGCGTAGGTGCGATCAGTTTGGCAGAGACTTGAACGCTTTCGTCCCGATCAAGAACCTTGGAGAGAGACGAAAAACTCGCGGAGTGCTTTGCAGACGACGGGGGCGCTCTTGTCCTTGAGAAACTTCAGAACGCCGAAGTTGGTGTAGTCGTCGACGATGCACATGACGTAGGTGGAGCCGCCCGCCGCACGCGGGAGCGGCCCCCGCTAGATCGGCAAAAAAACGCTGGAGGGGACGAACAGCGGTAGACGAGGTAGTCCGAGCGATAGCCTTTCGAATACCCTTGCCAAC